ATAATTAGTGTTTTAAATGTTGGCCGACGTGTTTTAAATGTCGGCCGACGTGTCCGACATGTCGGCCGACGTGTCCGAATTAGAGTTCGAACGACACGAATCGAGCAATTTTATGTCGCATGTTATTTTTCAGGAGGAAATCGGATATGTCGGCGATATATCGGGCATATCGACCAACTTTTTAACTTCGAAAAATCGGCCGATATGCTCTATTATCGGTTTAAAACGTTTTTACTTATTGGGTTTAGGTTTAGGTTTGAAAACCCAAACCCATATGACCTGTTATGATGTTAAGGGTCTGTTTTTGAACCCGATAGACAGAAACGAACCCGTTCAAAAGAAAAAACAAAAAAAACCTAGGGCTACGACTGGGAACCCACCAGCCGCCTTCGTCTTCTTCGTCCTGTGTTCGTTCTTCTCACATCGCTGGCTTCTCCTCTCTTTCCTCCTTGCGACATCGAAGTTCATCATCTCCGGCGTCACATTCTCCTCTCTTTCTTCCCTGCGGGAAGTAGAAGTTGCAGCTTTCCTCAACTTCTTCAGCCGTCAGGTATGAGAGACCCTTTCTCATCGTCTGACTCTCTCTCTCTCTTCTTCTTCTTCAGAACCTTTAGATTTAGAAGATTTTCACATCGTCTGGATTTTGGTGTTGATTTCATCTTGTTTATCTTATTCAATGTCTTAATTGTTGTTTCCCCTTGTTTTTATTATTTTTTGTTACATTACATTATATTATTATTCAAATAGCTCTATGCTTTTTGTTGCTGTAAATTATTCATTTGTAGAATTTAATGTTTGGCACATGTTTTGGGCAGCATGCTGGGAAAACAAGACATCTGGCTGATTTCTCGTAATGATCCTTGTTTATCATTTAATAATAATCCCTAGTTTCTCGTAATAATCCATGTTTATCATCTAATGATATAAACATGTAATACTCAAAGAGTTTCTGTTTTTCTTCTTCATGTGACAGTCTGGTAGCAACTCTGTGGATAATCACAAAGGAGAGAAAATTCTAGTTGTATCTGTTTGAGGGTGATGAGTCTTTACTTTTTATAGAATTTATAAAGTATGCTGAGTAAGAGGACTTTGCAGATTTAGTTTTTTATATGTTTAGTCTATAGAATTTATAAAGTATGCTTATAACTTTGCAGATTTAGTTTTTTATATGTTTAGTCTATAGAATTTATAAAGTATGCTTATATTGAATTTAGGAATGCTTAGATTACATTTAGGACTTATAAAGTATGCTTATATTGAATTTAGGAATGCTTAGATTACATTTAGGATATGATATTATACATATGTGTATCACCTGATATGTCAATCCGATATTTAGTCTATGTCCCTCGATATATCCTCGATTTTCGCTATCCGACAAGGATTTCAGGCGTCCGACATGAACCCGATATTCGATATTTAAAACATTGGTTATAATTTCGGACATGGAAAAGTCTTCCCAAATTAGCAAATTACCATACTCCCAATTCATGTAGACGCTCAACATTTTAATAATGTCAACGCAAAAATATGCAATGCATAGAAACATATAACTTAATAATAAGGACTACCCTCAAACACCCCTCAAATCAAATGACGATAGCTTAAAAACGTCCCTACATCGTTTCTCCATTTAGGTGGCGAAAAGCTCATCACCATTTTAATATTATCTTTTTGTCTTCTACTTGATGGGTGCATTTTTTATATTCATATACTATTTGATATTTTATTAGAAGAATCCTATGTTTAACTAGAATCTAGTTTTCTATGATTGTGTTTTGTTAAATGAATAAGTTTATTTATTGCATTATGAAAGGTATAGAGACGTATGTCTATTTTCAAGTGCAAACCATATGCCTGTCTTTTGATTTCTTTTTTGCCAAACAAACCCATTAAAGCAATATTAAATTGGTTGGAGGGTAAAAATGTCAAGTTGGTTATAATATTAGTCCTAACGATTTATTTTTCTGAAAATAAACACAGACTATTTTAAGTTAGTCAGATTTGTTAGTTCGTGTAAAAACAAACACTAGACTAGAGCAAGATAGTCCCAGAATTATACAATCATAGGACTATAGTCTTAAGGTTATGACACCCCCTAATCCGGGGATAAAAAACAAACATGGCCTAAGTTCTTATTAATTTGTATGATTTCCCACTAATTATGTAATTGTTTATTAATGATGATGCATAGAGGGATTTTGGAAGTGTGAAGCTAACTCATTGTGAAATTTCATGCTATCCAACTTGTAATGAGGATTGTATTAGGTTGGAATTTAGACATCGGTACGGTTGTCTTGCTGCCAAAATTTTGGATTTCAGTTTGTTCTTTTATTTTGCAAGATAGAGAACCTCACGTGAAGGTTATCTGTTAGCATATTGAGATATTTTACAGCAAAACCACTATTACAAATTTTGTAAATTCGCAAACTACAGCTCTATGCCTCAACTGCTTTTCTAGTTTAGGCAGGATATTTAAGAGGCTAATGGTTGATAAATATAGATATAGATAACTGAAACTATTTTCTCAAAATGGAACCTAACAAAAACATCTAAACAATTAAACTCGTATAATAACACCAAAAATATTATGAAATCCTCCTACTTTCTTTATGACTAGTTATCCTTTGCTCTATTTTACTACATCTCTTCCCTCCATCTTTCTTTATGACTATCTTTACAAAAGTATAAGAAATGGTACTGCTCTTTATGATGAGTTTTCTTTCATCTAGTAAGCACTTTGACAAGGCTAGAAAATAGTGGAAATAAACTAATATAATGGTGATGGTAGCTCTCTCTTTCTTTTTATAGCTTAATATATATCAATAGTTAATGCTTGTAATAGTTGTAGAAACAAACACTGATAAGTACACAGTTAAGATATTGATTCCATTAGGGTATTCCACTCACATGAAAATATGTTGTCAGTAAATCCTCTTCCTTGCAAATTAGATTGGATTTATTAAAGACAATATGTTGTTGATGGTGGCCAATTGCAGGGGATTAGCTCACAAATGAATCTCTTAACCGTGTTGGTTCAACAAATGACTGGCGACCTCTCAAACTCTCCTTCTAGCTCAATAAAGTGTGGGTGTCGTCGAAAGAAATGGGAGGAACTGAACCATTGCATCACTCAAATCCAACACCTTCTTTGACCACGTCAACTTCTTCAATCACAACGCTGGTTTCACCTATGCCTTAGTTGGCTACAGCATCTTACTCACCAATGCAACACGCATCATAACTGACTGCTTTCAAAGATAGTACACACAAAATTGTTAGGATTAACCCTGGTATTTTAGGTAAACCTAGGTGGACTTAAATTGGATTTGAATTTGATTGGAAAAATAATTTCAAATGAAATTAAAGTTCAATTGAAAGAGGGTTAGGATTTGATAATCTAAATCAATGAAGGAATCCTACATGAATTTAAATTTTAAGATAGGGGAAAACTCTTTCAATGCCTCTTGAGTGATTCATTGTAATTAAGTCATATAAAAGTCATCAGAAAGAGAGAGTTGCATATTGTAAAAAAGTTGTATATAAAATACAAAGGTGAATAGGTTCGTGAGGATCTTTAGGTGAGATTGAGAGAGGATTTCTTACAGGTTCCTTGAGGAACTCAAGAAAGGTTATAACTTTGTAATCTTTGATACAAAAAGGACTAAACTAATAAATCTCTCCCCATGGACGTAGACGATTGCCGAAGCTTTTAAATCCTCTTGTCTTTGCACCTTGTTCACTTTTCTGCAGTATATTGCTTTTTTATTTTTTGTTCAAATATTGTTTTTCTCGGTGTCTCCCTATTGCTGAGGTGATCAATTGTGCTAGTAAGACTAGAGAGATCTCATATGTGATCCATTAAGTCTGTTTTGATGATTTTCTTGTTATACAGTGGTGCAAGGTCGGTTTTGAAGGATGGAGCAGTTGATACAAGTCCAACCAAACTATTTAGAGAAGTGTGAGATGAATCCATTTGTTATGTTTCATTTGCAGTTGTCGAAGTAAGTTTGCATATATCTAGCTTAATCAGCCCACTATCTCAATCCAATTCTGATTACATCCATCAGTTCCCTCATAAATATTCAAAACCCTAGGGTTTTTTCTTTTTCCAGACAAGAACCATCACTTTCATCATGCAGTCTTTAGTTATCCTCTGCTTTACTTTACTGCATCTGTTCCCTTCTTCACCTTTCTTCATGGCTATCGTTAGGGAAAGTATAAGTAGAGTACTACTCTTTATGATCGCTACTCTTTCATCTAGTATGCATTTTATCAGGGGTAGACAATAATATTACAGTAGATTACATGATGGTGACGGGTAACTTCCATTTTCCATGATAGATATAGATAGATAGTCAATGCTTTTAATACTAGTAGAACCAAATATTGATGAGGTATTTAGATAGTTGATGCTTGCCCTTTTGTAGCTAAGATGATAGTTCAGATTTAAATGTTCACGCTTGTTTCTTCTGTAGATCAGTACCTTTATTTTAGAGAAGTTGTGGGTAGCTGTGTAGATCCATATTGTAATGGGTTCTTATGAGTACACTGGCAGTTCTTGCACGTTCTTATGAGTACACTGGCAGTTCTTGCACGTTCTTTATTTTATACTGGGTAAGAAAGCTCAGGTCTGCTGTCTTTATGTAATGAAGCTAATGTATTCGTCTGATTCTGCAATTTTACAAGCTTTTAAGGTGTTTCCTTGTAAGTTCAGTTTGTACCAATGAAGGGAAAACAGCTAATGGGGGTTCTTCAAGTCTTGTAGACCGCAGTGCATCAAGAACCCAGCTAATTTCAAAAAATGTACCAAAAATCAAACACTGTGTTGCATTCAATCAACTTCAAAAACCCTAAACCCTAATTACATCCTGAATATAGTAAAAAACACATTTCAGAAATTTCACCAGTACTACCAACTACATCACAAGCCAACCGCATTCAGCATCCAAAACCCTAAACCCTAAAAAACAAAGCTCCAAAAAGGTGAGAACCAATACCTTGATCATCTCCTCATGAATCCCCACATGAGAGTAAGACTGGAAATAGGCCGCGTCGAACGCCGCCCACTGAGGAGACGCTGAAACCCTATCGACGGGCATCGACGAAGACGACGAGGAGGTGAAGAGAACCCTAAGCGAACCTCCACGGCCCGCCGCACGCCGCCGCCGCCGCCGCGGCCTCGCCGGATTCGGCCCTCCTTTGTGGCGGGTAATGGCCGTGCCCGTTACGGTACCCGATCCGTCTCCGGGCATCATTTTGAGCTGAGAGGGGAGAAGAAATGGGGGAAACTTTGAAGAGAGGAGGAGTTTCTTGATTTGGGGCTTGGGTTTTGTTTTGTATTTTATTTTGTTGGGGAGCGGCTTCTCGTCTACTTTCCTTCGACTGGTGAGCTACTAATTCCCAAGTATGGCTAGCTTAATGAGCACAGGTGAGCGCAAACGGTCGCTTCGGTGGGGTTTAACCGTTTAAGCAAATTCAAGCAAACCGAACCGGAACCGAACCATAAGCTGAGCCAAGCTGAACCGAACCGAAAAAACACGGTTCGGTTCGGTCGGTTTTTTGGTTGCTATAGGAGCAAGAACGAAATCTAGAAACCCATATTAGATACTCTCCCATGGTTGAAATTAGGGGTGTCCATCCGGATCGGCCCGAAGCCCGGACCCGGGCCCGGGTGACCCGGGCCGGGTCCGGGCCCAGGCCGGGGCCTGAGCGGGCCGGGCTCCGGGCCGGCCTGGTTTTTTTCCTATTTTTAATTTTTTTTAAATTTTTAAAAAAACAATAAATTATAAAATATACATAAAAATTACAGAAAATGACATAAATTTTTTTAATAACTTGAAATGACATAAATTACAAGTACAAAAAATTATAAAAATAAAAGATGATAAAAATAATTTCTTTATTAATAATCAGTAAATCCTTTACAATTATAAATTTATTTCGAAATTCGTCGCATCACAATAGATGAGTAAATCTCAACTAGGTTGGCACCTACTCACCCATATCGCTATCATTTGTAACTTTTTTCGAAATAATCCATTACAAATTTAAAGCTAAGAAATAAAAATTACAATTTGATGAATATTATCTAATCTTTATATCTATCTGCTAGTCCCAACTCTTTAAATTTATCTTCAATTATAGCAATCCGATCGATACCTTGTGTTCGCTTCTCGTACCTCCACCAATCATGTAAGCACATCACCGCTTGTACAATATACGGATCTAAGCATGTCCTGTGGTCGTCGATCAAACGTCCTGCTGTGCTGAAGGCAGATTCTGAAGCTACCGTCGAAACCTGCACTGATAGTAAGTCACGAACCATTGTGAAAAGTATAGGATATAAAACTGATCCATATACTGTCCACCATTGCAAAATATCTAAAGCATTTCCTTGACATTTAACTAAGAAAGCAGAAAAATATTCATCTAATTCAGAAACCGCTAATCCTGAACCAATTCCAGATCCACCAGTTAGTTCAGCTACCATTGCATACCTATTAAAACTTACACTTTTACCTCGACCTGTGCTCGAAGCCGAAGGCATTGAAGCTGTAGACTGTTGTGCAGCTACACCATGTCTAGCTGCATACTCATCATATAATGTTTGAAAATAATTTCTAATAGATAAATGATGAGAAGTAGCAGTAAGGGTGGAACCATCATCTAAGTCTATAATATGTCCACCATACAATTGTTAGCCTCTTTGTTTTGATAATGTTTAACAAATAATTTACTACTAATGTTGTTTGTCTAGTGTTTGTGATTTTCTATTTATTATAGACAAACAACGCGTTGGAGGATGGATGGAATTACGCATTCACGATCATATCCAATGGAGGTTGGCGGAATTGTGGTATGAAGTCTACGTAATTCAAAGTTAAAGATTCAAGTTCAACCTTCATCCGTAAAGTGTACCAAGTCAAGCTCATCGAAGATCTATCAAGCTTGGGTGTATTTAGTTTAGGTTTTATATTATGTGTGTTAGTACTTTAAGCTCAATCATATATACACACACACATTTGGTTTTTATATATATAGTTATATATATACACAAGTTTTGGTTTATGGACTTAACAATCATTGTATACATATTTCATTAAGTCTATAAAATTATTTCATAGGGTTTCAAAATATTATTTATGTCAAAACATCAAATTTTATGTATATCACATTTTCATGTTTTGGACATACTTGCAAAATACATGAGTTTTCACAAATGGGAAACTCAATTTAAGAAATTCTTTTTCTAACATGTTCAATTCATGTTTATAAATGTTTTCCAAAGTTTTATCAATTTTGGAATTAATTTGTTATGTTTATTTGAATTTACAAAATTAAATTTTTAATAAGCTCATGTTCGTGCACATGTTCGTGCATGTTTTTGCAAAACAAATACGTTTTCATAATTGGGAAATGCGATTTAAAAAATTTCTTCGTTTACATGTTTATCATCATATATAAAAATATTTCCCCAAGTTTTACTAATTTTGGAGTTGTTTTGTTATTTTCAATTGAATTTACAAAACCGAGTTTTCAGCAGTTTTTTTTAGAAACTGTATATCTATGTTCAAACATTTATTTATCTCAACTGGAAAGTGATATTTCAGAAATTCTTTTTTTAACATGTTTATCTACGTGTCTAGAACCTTCCCTCAAAATTTTATGATTTTTGAAGTTAATTTACTATTTTTAATTGATTTTACAAAATTAGATACGTAAAATTCTAGAATCTGTCAAAAACAAAAACTGTCTGTGAACAGTGCAGTCGACCGTGCTACAGTATGGTCGACCGCTGTTACTGTAGTAGTCGACCGTTGCACAGTAAAGGTAACATCTGTTTTTTTGTTTTTAATGGGTTTTTAAGGTTTTTTGAGTTGTTTTCTTCAAGCCTATATATACCCATTTGCCATAACTATTTTAGATAACCAAGAGAGAGTTTTAAACAAGTTTTAAAAGAGATTAAAAGTTTGTTTAGTTTGTTTTAAGTTTGGGGTTTTTGTTTACAAAGGAGAAAGCTTGCGTTGTCAATTGAGGGATTCATCATCAACCTTCTTCATCCCCTCCTTTGTGTTTATAGAGAAGTTTTTCTAACTTTTTTCTCTAGCAATTTTATTATTGATTTTCATATTCTTATTATTGCTAGTTTGCAAATTGAGTTAGATCTTATTTCACTTATTGTTTACACACACCCACTTGAGCTTATTGTATTTTCATACATAGTATATTTGGGTTGGTGAGAGTTGTAACAATTGAGTTTGTGCTTTAATTGAGTTCTCGCCTTGTATTAGAGAACAAATCATTTGTTGTTATCTGAGAGTGTTGTAGAGTTTTCGGTTAGCTAGAAAACCGTATTGTGAGGTGTGGAGTGTAGACGTTAATCGGTAACCGTTGAAAACTGATACCGTGAGGTGTAAACGTTATTCGGGTGAGCGTAGAAAACCCGGTTGTGATAGTGGATTTCTCTCCGGGAGTGGGGAGCGGAGACGTAGAACGGAAGGTCCGAACTCCGTGATCATATTGTGTGTTTGCATTGTTTATTTACACTATCACTCTTATCTTTAAGGTCCGAACTCCGTGATCATATTGTGTGTTTGCATTGTTTATTTACACTATCACTCTTATCTTATTTTGTTTATGTTTATTTCACTCTTGTGTTAATTTGTATATCCTTGCATATATCTCATAGTATATCTCATTGTTAGGACATATCTTTTTGTTCATATTGCTTATCCTAGCTCATATATCTTGTTGTATTTTATACTTGCTAGGATAACTTGTTATTAGTTTTAATTGATATAAAATCAGATTAGATTAGTATAAGACCCTAATCACCCCCCCCTTCTAGGGTCTAACAATTGGTATCAGAGCTTGGTGCTCTTTGATTTAAGGTCTAATCGCCTTGAGTTAAAGATCCAAGTCATCTTTTTTTGCTAATCTTGTTTAGATTTTATTTGTCTTGCTTGCACATATATATATTTATCATGGACATGAATTGTGCACCTTTGTTAGGCTATGAATCAAATGTTGCTCCTAAATTCATTAATTTTTCCTATGCACAATGGGCTTCTAGATTTAAACTATTTGTGCAATCTAAAAATATTGATTTATAGGGAGTTATTGATAATGCTTATATTATACCCACTATAGAGAAATCCAAGTGGAGTAAAAATAACAAAAGATTGTTTACCATGAACAAGATTGTGTTACCCACTATAGAGAAATCCAAGTGGAGTAAAAATAACAAAAGATTGTTTACCATGAACAAGATTGTGTGAGAATATATACTTAATGCACTTGATTCTTCTATTTCTAACAAGCTTGCTCATTTTGATAGTGCTTACAAATTGTGGATATTCATAGAAGCACATCATGGTAAGTTGGAGGAGATTCAAAGGATTCCGACGGATTCTTCCTCAAGTAATATTGGAGTTTCATCATGCACATGGCCACTAGGCGATAGCCCTAGTGTGGTATGCGGTTCCGAACCTGATAATGATTTATCTAGTGATGAACTTGCTTGTGCTAGTGAAAAATTATTGTATGCCTATAACAAATTGCATAAAATTTTTATTGATTTGCAAAGCAAGCATGAAGATTTAAAATCCGATCATGAGAAGTTAGCTTCCAAATTTGATATCATTTCTCAAGAAAGTATTGCTCTTCAAGAAAACAATGATATGTTAAATTTAAAAAATAATAATTTGAAATTAGATATTGCTAACTTGACTCATGACAAAAATAATGTCATGTTAGAAGTAAAAAAACATAAAAAATGATACTGCTTCTTTTATAAATGACTATTTATGTTCTACTTCTAATAAAAATACATATGTGCCAAATGATGAGTTGAATGTTGTTAAAAATCGTATTTCATCTTTAGACTCAACTCTTAATACATGCATTGATAACCATAAGAAAATTATGGACAAGTGTGCTAAACTTAGTGCTACAAAATCACCTACACACTATGCACACTTGTATAACAAAATTTACAAATGCTCAATTTGCGGTCGTAAAGGTCACATTGCTAAATTTTGTTATGATGCACACAAATATTCTAAGGTTAATGCTTTTTATGCATCTCATAAGGCTTCTTCATCACACACACGTGTACATGCACACACTCATAAAGTTCATCATAAGCATGCTCATGTGTTTAAATGTGATCATTGTGGTCGTTTTGGTCATTTGGCTGAATATTATTTTGATTTAAAAAGAAAATCAAATTTGTCAAATGTTTCTAGTAGACCACATATTTTTAAATGTGATGTTTATGGTAGGTTTGAACATCTTGCTAAATTTTGTTTTGATGCGCAAAAAGTTCATATTTTGCAAAATGCTCCAAAGAAACCACCTTTGTTTAATAATGTTTCTTCTTTGTAAAATAATTTTAAAAGACAATCTTTATTTTC